AGCAGCAGCAGCAGCAGCAGCAATAGCAGTAGCTCTAACTGGACCCATCATTCTGTCGTTTCTCCCTTTTTAGAACGTCCAGAGAACAAGGCAACTTGTCAGGCAGGGTCACGTAATCTGATCCCCCATCCAGACTTCTGCCAACGGTACTACAACTGCAGTGACCACTCGGACAAACGCATGTCTTACCTGGGCAAGTTTGAGGAGGAGTGTGACTACCCTGACCTATTTGACTACGTGCTGCTGAAGTGTATGTCCTTCAAGGTAGCCAAGTGCGCAGAGGGAACCAAAGTGGGTGTGCAGCCATGTGAGTTTGATTTTTAAAAAATTCAGATTCTACATTCACAGCCAAATATACGATAACATAATGTAATAAAACTTTTCTTCCTATGTCCATGTAAGTTAGATCTGGGGGGGTTTTTTCTTCTATATCTACACATAAGATAGATCCTTTGTTTTTCCTATTTCTACACCCAAGTTAGATCTTTTTTCTTTCTATATCTACATGCAAGATAGATCCTTTTTTTTCTATGTCTACATGCAAGTTAGATCTTTTTTCATTCTATACGTTAGTTAGATCTTTTTTTTTCTGACTTTATCTAGATAAAACTTAGATCTTTTTTCGTTCTATAACAATATCATTATTATGTTGTAAGATCTTTTTTCTTACTATAACATATATCTAGATGCAAGTTAGATCCTTTTCCTTTCTAATGAGCACCCGCCAACCGCCCTCTTTGTACTGCAAGTGCCGTAAAAATATCATAAAAGCCACAAACACCCCACGCCCACCCTCCGCCATGTTTTGCTCTGTTCTGTGTGTACAGGCGACTACGTGAGGAACCAGTGTGTGAGCTCTCACTGTGAGCCGTGTTCCTTCCGGGCTCCCTCCTGTCTGGGAAAACCCGACGGCCTACATGTGAGTGGGGGAGAAATGGTGGTGGGGGATGAGAGAGAGGGGGAGGTAAGAGGAAAGGGAGAGGAGGGGGAGGGGAGAGGAGGGAGATGAGGGGAGA